TTCAAACCACAAAAGAAGATATTTGCAAAAATGTTGGAAATTTATGACCATTGACATCCATACTATTTGTTTTTTCCTAATATTGAAGTGGATGATAACAGGTTTTCAGCTTTCTTCACAATATCTTCATCGGTGTTCAACAGAAGAAATAAACATAAAGCTTTGGAACCACTTGAGGGTGAGTAATTAGTAATCTTTCATTTTTGGATGAGCTATTTCTTTAATTTCCTTGTTTCTTTCCTTTTTTTAACAATGTGAGATGGGAAAAAAAGATTATAATACAAATTTGAACATGTTAGTTTAGTTGCACCTCTATGATGCTCAGTATGTGTTAAGTTAGATGCAAGTGCTAATTTAAGCAGCTCAGTGACCGCTCTAAAAGTTCCCCTGTCCTGCGTCAGTCTTCAGACAGAGAGGTCTTCTTTTTCCATTCCCTCAGGGTTTTGATTTACTGCTGATCTGTTTTAAGGATATGAATGGAGGCGCAAAGGAAGACCGTAAACATCAGGAGATGCTGAATGTGTAATAAGGTCAATAGACAAGAGACAAGGACAAGAGAAAGAGGGGGAGAAAAGGGAAGGGAGTGTCAGGATATTGGTACAGAGGTCGCTAATGTTTGTGTTCTCCTTATATGCCAGTGGAGCTGAAAAAACACGCGTCAGCATTCCTGAAAAGAGGAAACGAAAACTCATAGTAAACATGGAGATCATGTCGCTCTTGCACTTTTTGTTTTTCAGATTTCCTGTAATTCCAGTGTGTTTTTACAAGAAAATCTCCTAAAAAGCTCTTGATAAGTATGGAATTAATGATTAATAATACAGCGAATCAACCAAACTAAATTAAAGCAAATGCTATTTTATGTCTAAATCTTCACTGATGCTCTCACACAAATGGAAAATCAAGATGCACAGTAGCCCATCAAGGTTAAATTTGCTCTTTAACAGCTCTCAGGATTTCGTAAATACATTTTAGATTGCAATTTAATCCTTGTTTATTGGCAAAACATCTCAAATTTAGTTTTAAATAGTTAAAAAATTAACAAATATGAAAGGAGTACATCATGAATCCATCTTCCAAAGCATCCCTTTGTCTTGCAGTGAATCACTATGGTTAGCCTAAATGCTTTGTAGACCAGATTGATTGTGCATGATGTGGGAGTAACTGAAAGGCATTTGTTAGTGGAGTAATACTGACTATGCAAAATGCCTCAATAGCAAAATGCCTCAATAGTAAGTATCCATAATACATCTTAATTAAACTATTTTTTTTTGTAGTGTTGTGATGTTTGTTTTCAGGAACCTGATAATAAGTTGTTAAATTAATATCTTCATTTGTCAAGATATACTATATACTATAAGTATATATACAAAAGTCTTGACGTCAATCCCAGTTGTAAGAGCAACAAATAATAACTTGACTTCTAGTTGATCATTTGTAACAGTGGCAGAAGGTAGATCTGTTGAACTGCATCCCAATCATCACAAATACTGTTTGTGTTTGTTGAAGGAAAATCATGGTTTGGGGTTACATTCAGTATGGGGATGTGCGAGAGATCTACAGAGTGGCAACATCAACAGCCTGAGGTACCAAGACATTTGTGCTACACATTACATTACAAACCACAGGAGGGGGCAAATTCTTCAGCAGGATAGTGCTCCTTTTCATACTTCAGCCTCTACATCAAAGTTTCTGAAAGCAAAGTAGGTCAGTGTTCCAGGATTGGCCAGCCCAGTCACCAGACATGAACATCATGTCTGAGGTAAGACGAAGGAGGAGGCATTAAAGACAAATTTAAAGATTATTGATGAACTCTGGGAGTCCTGCATGAAGACTTTCTTTGCCAATCCAGATTACTTAAATACGTGATTTGAGTCATTGCAGATGTATGGATGCAGTCCTCCAAGCTCATGGGAGTCATACACAATATTAATTCTTTTCCCACTGCACCATGACTTTATATTCTGTACTGGACATTATTTCAGTTAAGTGACAAGACTTTTGTCTAAGCAAAGTCAGATCTGACTGTCCTAATTAAATAATTTAAAATCAAGACATGATCATATTTTATTCTGGTAAAATAAGCGTAATTAGAGGCCTTTGCCTTTTTATATAAGCCACTTCTGATACCAAGTCAAGGTATTATTTGTTTCTAAAACTTGAGTAGGTGACAAGACTTTTGTCAGGTAGTGTAGTCATCTCGAGCTGTGTTTGGTTGTGTTTAATTCAAAGAGGATCAGAGCTTTTGTCATTTTTTTTAGTAACTCAAAATCGGAGCATAATTCTTACCACCCTAGATGATTTCCTTTGTAGATTTTTAATGGCCCAAACCCACATGGCACAAGTCATGTGCTTGAGCAGACTTGCCACGTGGCAATTAATTCCACAAGATCATAGTGTGTGCAGTTCATTATTCTAGCTTTGCTTTCCAGCATCTCTTCAGCAGTTGCTATTCACCCTCAATGCACACTTCTGCTGAGACAGCACTAAAGCAGACCATCAAACCTGCAAAACAAAGCAATGTTCTTTCACAAGTCACATGCAGTTTTGTTAATTAAATGCTGGAGAACCAAAAGCTACACAGTGTACCTCTAAAAAGAAAAGTGCGTTAGTGAGTGAAGGAAAAACAACCAAAAAGTACCCAACATGCATGGGAACTACTTCAACACTACTGTAAAAGCAACTGAAGTAGCTACTTGTAAAGTTTTGAGATGCTGCCAAGAGGTTTGTAGCTCTGTTAGTAAGTCAAACACTCAAGAATTTACTGCTTAACACTGTTTTAGTCACTGCTTAATGCACACACTGGTTAATTCAGAGTTTGGTGGGTTTGCAATTATTCTAAAATGTGCAAAATAGTAGAAACTATGTCTGTGCAGATGTGCTTAACCTTCTAACTGGTACTGTAGATGAACTTCCTCTATCCATTATGTCAAGTGCTGTGTTTTCTTATTAAGCAGCCTTTTTATTCCAAGTGTGTGTTCCTTCCAGAAGCCTCCCATCGGTTTCCCAGAGCCCTGCAGGCTGCAGTCACGCTGAATAAGAAGATGAGATGTTGTCCAAAAAGGTGATATGAGGCAAATGCAATTAACTGTTCTGTTCTTTCCGCGCTGCTTTTTATTCACTCTTTTCATGTCAGAGGGGATTACGGAGACGGGAGGGGAGGACTCTACCTCTCGTTTTATGTGTGTGTGGGAACGAGTACAAGAACGGGGCAGAAACAGGATCTCGGTGGGCTTAAAGCCCAAGCCGTCTGACCCTCCCGCTCTCGCCCATCACAAAAGTTCAGCCGACCACCCAGACGGAGAGCAGAGAAGGGTGGGAAGAAGTTTAAGTTTAGGCTCTGACAGAAGTCTGGTCCTATGCAGTTTGCTCTGTGGCCCCTAGTCTGAACATGTCCTTAAATATCTTCAGCTTTGCAGATATTTCATTATACTGTAGTACTGCCTTCAAATAAGCTAATGATGAGCATATTTGCCTATACATTCTCTTGAAAATCAATGTTTTTAAATAAGCAGTTCTAGGTTTGGGACTGTATTTGTTTTTTTATGTGTACTTACCTACATTTTATCACCCATCTGCCACTTGATAAGTAAATCTAGCTTGTACCTTGTGCCCTCAGAACTGCTTTATTTCTTCCTGGCATTGATTTATCAAGTTACTGGAAACCATCTGGCAAGCCAAGCCATGTTCAAAGTCACCTAAATAACTTTGCTCTGATGCTTGGTTTGCATTTTAGCAGATTATCTTGACCACGTCTACTTGGCAATATACATTGCGTTAGTGTCATGTAATTGACTAATATGTGTATTGATGTTATTAAGCAGTTTAATAGTAATGGGTAGAAAGGAATAACTGGTAAGCCTTTCTTTCGCTCTGTTTTGTTTTGAAGCATTACATTTATTGAGAAACTGGGGGAAGACTTGAACCTAAGGTGTGTGCAGAAGAAAGTGAAGGTGTTTTCTGCAGCAGCCTCTTATACAGATGACTGGGTGAATGCAAATGTTTATGAGAAGCTCCTTCAGCAACATGTGGTTCTTTCCCTGCATTCATCACTCCATCAGCCATCAACCTTCATGCAGAAGTATGAGCCCCATCACAGCGAAAGAGATAAATAAAATGGGGATGACACAGTCCTGATCTAGATCTGATTGAAAATCTCTGGAAAATCCTTAGTGGCAAAGTTATGACAGAAACCCTCTACAGTTACCAAACTGCGGAGGAGGCTGAATCAGCAGGTTTGTGCTGTGGTAAAATAAAACAATACTTATTTTCTATTATAGAATTGATTTAAAATTCTATACTGCCATAATTTTCGTCTCGTTTTAAGACGCATTTTAAAGTTCCCATAAATCCAAACGCTTCTGAGTGGACCTCCACCACACTGCTTTGCTCGGTCGTTTGGTTTCTGTGACTCATCACGAGTCTGGCCGGTAAGAACAGCTTCAAACCAGTTCTTCATATCACCGGATAAAAGGGCGCACGCTGAGAAAAATACACGCGGTCACGGTCGTGCTCTAACTGCGACTTAATATTGATAAAAAATAAAAGAAGACCTGAAAAGTGCGTTTTAATTTTGAAAGCACCTCTCCTGTCACCACTTCACTTTGCTCCTCTGGTGGTAAGACGCAAGTTCCCCAATTCTTGAAAGAACAAAATATAGGCTTCTATTAAGCACATATACTCTAAAGCACAGACGTGAATGTTTGTTCCTGATTTAAGTGGTTGTTTATTGTCATAAGAGTTGAGGAGAAACTTCAGCGCGCGTCTGTTGCGCCGCCGTGCGCGCACTGAAGAGAGAGATAGGTGGGTGCGCGCTCTACAAACTGCACCAATTCTCCTCGCGACTGCGGGATTTAAAAAAATGTTTTGGACGAATATAAAGGGAACAGGGCAGTCCGGTCGGTGGTCTCTCCCCCTTCTAGGTGTGGTCTGTGTTCAGGAGTGTTCAAAACGAGCCGGTGCGCGATTCTGGGCTGGAGAAGGTATTCAGCGGAGGAGCGCGTGAGAGACTGGCCTCTGGTCCAGCGGGCACGAGCGGTTCAGCGCTCTGCGAGTAAGAGCAACATCCACCTGCAGTAAGTTTCACAGCTTCTCAAATAGCCTACCTTTAACTTTCACATTCTTTTCTGGTATAATTGGCGAAAATCATGCACGCGAAGCCTGTTATAATTTGTAGTTCTATATTGCTGTCTAGTTTCTATTATACATTGACTTTTAATGCCTAGTTATACCAAAAAAGTATGGGCTAGTTACTAGTGTATTGCAAATATAATTACATAAAACATTCCTGCAGAATTATATTCAGAAATAGTTTTGCATATATTATGCTTTCAGATATGGCATGCTTTAAGTGAACCCTCCAATATTGTATTTCTATTATACAATGACTTTTATGTAGCCTACAGTTGTTCCTAAAATGTATGGTTATTATAAGATGATTCAGTTTAAACATAGGCTATTGCAAATCTAAAGGCACATGCGGCATTCTTGCAAGATAAATTGAAAATAGTTTTGCATGAATACTTCATATGAAACATGTACTTCCATCATGATCCTGATGTTTCTCCTTTTCTTTCAGCAGGTCTGTGTGTGAAGTGTAGTCAGTGTAACATCAGTGCTGAGAATGGCTGCTGTGAAGAGTGAGAGCACTTTAGATGGTGGATGGGGATGGATGATTGTGGTGGCTTCATTCATGGCCCAGTTTCTGTCTTTTGGATCCCCTCAATCTGTTGGGGTGTTGTATCCCGAGTGGCTCAGTGCCTTTCAGGAGGGAAAAGGCATGACAGCTTGGGTCGGTTCCATGGTGTCTGGGGTTGCGCTCATCACTAGTAAGTACTGATCGTTGCTTCATTGCTGTGTGTGTGTGTGTGTGTGTGTGTGTGTGTGTGTGTGTGTGTGTGTGTGTGTGTGTGTGTGTGTGTGTGTGTGTGTGTGTGTGTGTGTGTGATAAAGAAGTCCATGTTCCTATATAAAACAGTTATGCAATGATACATAAAATGACTAAGGGGTGATCAACATTTTGAAATAGGTCAAAACAACACATTCCTAAAATATCTTAATTAGTTTTCACTTTGTTTTCAGTTTTGATCAAATTTAGAAATGGAATTGTGTGTAGATCTTTAGAATGGATTAGAATGTATGCTTAAAAAACACAATTATTTGTGAGATCAAATTCATTAATTATCCTCTAATTCAAGTTATTTTAATGTTGATTAACTAACCATGACCTTAAATGTGAATCCAAGGCAAACATATTTCTAAGATCCTCTGCCCTAAGTGTTAAATCTGACATAAACATGACACTCTAAAACACACTTGGATTTATTCACACAGTATATAGCTGCTGAATCACTGTTGTACTGCCTTTTTCCACTAGAAGACATGCTGTCAGACAGAGACGTAATCTCCCTGTTTATTTACAGTGTAGTTGTTTAAAATAGGTGGTAATTGCAGTCTGCATTGCAGGGATCAAATTGACAGTGAAGGACACCACTATAAATTTACAAGAGAACAAAAGAGGGCAGATAATCAGAAGCATTGTCAGCTGTATAGGCTGACCAGTTTGGTTCTCATTTGATGCCACTTAAGTCCAATGTATAAGATGGGATGTAAATTGAAGCATACTGTATTTATATATTTACAAACACATACACCAGAGCAGGGGAAACACCAAACAGTAATCTTTAAGGGACAAACACCCAGACCGTTATCACAGCACACATCATTGTTTTGGATGTTATCTAAATTCAATACTAGAATATACATCATAAAAGCCTTTACAGTGCTCAGCATAATTTAGTACAGCCCATTTTAAAAATGAATATTTTTATCAATTTCTCAGTGAATATAAGCAATGTATTTTGGTGCATTTAAACAAAACAGATTGTTTAAACAGATGTATTTATTAAAATAATATTTTAGTCACCAAACATATTTCGAAATTGAAAGATAATACAAGTCAATTGAAGCAAAATATTGCAAAAAAAAAAATCAGCTAAATTTGGTAAAATGCTTCTTGATTTTTCCTCTTTTTTTTAATTGTATTTAATATTTTTCTATAACATAAATTTGTACTAGTTTTTGTAGTGTTATTGTAAGTTATTTTGTTAAATAAGCTCTGGATTTGGCTTCTGTACTGACTAATGTATGCACAAATATATCATTGCATAGCTTCTTATAAACAATATGAATTTAAAAGATAGATTTGTGAGGGGTGTTCTCGAGTATACTTAGCACTGTATATCTTTAGGTTCAGATTTTAAAATAACAGTGTGAATGCTAAACCAACCATGACCAAATGTATATTTTTTTTGCTCTGAACCCAAAGTAAATAAGATAAAATAAATAAGAGTTGCATTACAAGTGTGAAGACACCCTAAAACAGCATTATGTAAATGTTTTTTGTTAAAATGACCAAAAACCACTTGAACAGTGTTATAAATTTTGCTGACTGAAGTACTCAAATCCAGAAATAAGCAGTTTTAACTAGTGACACAAACCCTGTCTAATGACGTCATACGCAAACACCATTTGCAGTTTGGTTTTATGGAAAACAGGGAAACACCAAAGAAACTTTAATATATTGTACATTTTATTAGACTTTAAAATGTAAGAAGTATGATAAAACAGCATTGCTTCTACACGTGATTATGACTAGAGGAACTGAAGGACTGGCATAAAAAGCTCCAATGATTTTGTAATGCATCACACTTGTCCGCACCATAACTACAGCAATAGCATCACAGGATAATCCCATTGTTGGATATTCTTTTGAATAATATATTTTTAAAAGGGTTATAAACTATAAAACATTGATTGCTCAATCAAAATTCATCCTGCTTCAATTAACATCAGCCTTTAAGGTGGAAGACAACAAAACTGCAGCATACATTTATAATAAACAGAATGATTTCTTGCTTTGGTGTGTACATTAATAAAGGTACCTTTATTGTTCTCATTGGCGATGTAAACAAGCCTGATAGTTTAAAACTGCTGTGATATTTTAATTGCAGAGTTGCATAAAATATGCATTGCTTCATCTATTGGCTTCATGGATACTGAAAGTAATAGCGACATATTTAAAGAGAACAGGCACAAAGTTGTGTTTTAAATGAAGGGAAGACAGGCCTCTCATCTTTCCTCAGTAAACTTTGACACTAGTTCACAGCGCAAATGTGTGTGTCAGTGTGTCTGTGTGCGTGTTTGGGTTTTGAAGGTGTCAGGTTTTGTTTACAGGCATAGCTGTGTAGTCTATCGTCACTGCAGGGAAAGTCATGACTGGACAGGATTGGCAGAGATGTTAGTGTGTTTGGGTAAACATGTGTTCCTATGCCCTATGTTACCTCAGAAGAAGGGAATTTACAGGGGAGTTGATTATGACCTGCGTAAAACCCAAATCGCATCATCACATCTAAAAGCAGATGATTCCTGAAAACAGAAACAACAGAAAATGGGCCTTTCCTTTGATTATCTTGGCTGTTTTATAGTTTATTCACTCATTATTTTTGCTCAAGTTTTGATCTCTATAGGCTGAATGGTTCTGATTTCAAACTGGCATTAGTGCTGTGTAGGTCAGCAGTGTTGCATAATCAAACGTGTTTGAAGGCATTTGGCAGTGATGTTAGCAAGTATAAAGTACCCCGTACCAGACAGTACAGACCCTAATGAGACATCAAAGTAAAGATGGAGAAATTATTTAGTCTGAATGAGACAAACAAACACTGCTCCCCGTCAGATGCTCTCCAGAGGACATGCATTTTGGCCATTTTACGAGAAACTGAGTCATTTGTTAGCCTAATTCTAGTAATGGATTGATAGACAAACATACTCTCTTCACCCCTGAGACAGTGACGTTATCAAGACAGAGATTAAGAGTCTCCTTTTAGTCATTAATAGGACAATTAGGATGTTGAGCCTCATAATATTCATTGATTTTTTTTTCGGCTTAGTCCAATTATTAATCTGGGGTCACCCAATGGAATGAACCACCAACTTATCCAGCACATGTTTTACACAGCGGATGCCCTTCCGGCTGAAACCCATCTCTAGAAAACATCCATACACACTCATTCACACTCATACACTACGGACAATTTAGCCTACCTAATCCACCTGTACCGCATGTCTTTGGACCCTGGGGGAAACCGGAGCTCCCGGTCGAAACCCACGGTAACGCAGGGAGAACATGCAAAGTCCACACAGAAACGCCAGCTGACCCAGCCGAGGCTTGAATTAGCAACCATTTTGCTGCTACCTACTGCATCGCCCCGCCTCATAATATGCGAACAATAATTTCTGTAATAATTATCCATACTTATAAAAGCATCTATACTTGTAAGTTAGAGCTTCAGTTTATGCATTTATTTATTGGCAAGTTGAATTATGTGCCTGTTTTATGAACCATTTTTGCCCCAAACTATAATAGCAGAGAAAGCTTAATGTGCTGCAATTTAAGAAAACACATGAAATTACAAAAAATGCCAGCAAATTGAGAGCAGATTTTCATCCGTTTGACAGGACACATGCTGCAAATCCTCACAAAGCAAAGATATTTTTAAAAAACACGCTTACAACGTTTTCTTGCAAACAGTTTATTAAAACGCTCTGCATTTTCTCACAACACAACGAAAACATTTCAAGGAGACCCTAAAACATGACCCGGCTATTTAAGTTATGGTTATTTAGGCTAACAAAAACTAAAGACAAGGGAATCAGGATGTTGAAATAAACAAACAAAAAAATCACCTTTCAAAGATCACCTACAACTTCACTCAGCAACTCGTTGTGTTCAGTTCCTTTTGTGTTGTGAGAAAATGCAGCCCATTTTTATTTGTGTGTATTGTGAGGATTTGCAGCACATGTGCTGTCAAATAGATGAAGATCTTTTCTTAATTTGCTGAAGTTTTTTGTAATTGCATGCATTGTCTTAAATTTCAGCGCTTTAAGCTCTCTCGGCCACCGTATTTAACACTGAAAATTGTTCAAAATAAAAATAACAGTACACAATATAATAAAAGAGTAAAATAAAATTCAGTGCTTCATAATCTGATTAGGAGGACAAATAAATGAAAAAAGGCGCAAAAACAAAACTACAAGAGTTTATGTGGAAGGCAATTATAGGCAAAAACATTTAGTACTACAGCGCTGAAAAAATATATGTAAAATAATTAATATGAAAGTCCATTACTAGTTTGTTATTCGTTTTCTGTGTTTGCCATTAATAAATTTGTGTATTAATTACAGTAAAAATGATCCATTAGATTTGCTTTTTCTGCTTTAAAGTAAGTGGTTGCAACTTTACAATATAATTAACTAAAACTCAACATCTTAAGTTGAAACAGAATCTCTCTAAGTTGAGATGACTCACATTTTCAAGGCAGCTGGTGAACTTAAGTTTGTAAGTTTAACCAAATAAAACGTTTTATGGGGAACAGACAATTTGAGTTTTAAGCATTACTATATATAATTAGTTTGTTAACATTCAATCCATTAAGTTGTTTGGAATCACTTACCTTAAAAAAAATTGTAAATCCAATGAATATTTTTTATGGAGTTTAGTTTTTTATAGAGTGTAGTTTATTTAGGTTTTATTGAATAAACTACTGATTATGTGCACTAAAATAAGAATATTTTAACCAAGAAAACTTATTTGCAGAAAAGGACAATAAATCTAATATATATAGATATAAAATATTCCATGACTTTATTTCAGACTTTATTGAAAGAACATATCAATTAAACATGCATTTATTTCCCAGAGGTCTATAGTGCATAGATTATTCCTCATATTCTTCATTGTTTGCATTCAGTGAGATGCTGTTCTCCTGTGTTTTTCTGTAGGCCCGGTGTGCAGTGCCTGTGTGGATAATTTCGGTGCTCGACCGGTAACCATCTTCAGTGGTGTGATGGTGGCTGGAGGGCTGATGCTGAGTGCGTTTGCTCCGAATATCTCTTTCCTCATCTTCTCCTATGGCATTGTTGTAGGTAAGAACATGAAACCAACATTAACAGTGACTTGATGAATAGCAGCATGCTGGTATTAAGAGACATATGTGTTTGTTTTTTTGACCTTCAACAATTATACGAGAATCTCAAATTAATCTTTTAAGTAGGAATTACATTCATGTGTTTGTAATCGTAAGAGTTAAACAGTCTGCTTATTTGTGGCCGCCAGGAGTGCTATTAATTATGATTATATAACACTCACTGGCAGTTTAGAATTCGAAACCATGGTGCCACCACTGTTTACAGTTTCATCGCCAGTAATACACAGCAACAAGACTTTGAAACATGCACACACAGAAATGTACTACCCAAAAATACCATTGCATAAGTTCAAGTTGGAGTTACTTTGCATACAAAGTCTACACTTCACTTCCTTTGTCCCTTTTATAAGATTAATTCAGAACATTGCATTACATTTTGCTTCAGAGTAAGAGATTTTTTTTTTGTGAAATGGTGACTATAATTAATGGATTCCTGTTTCTGTTCAAGGCATGGGCTGTGGACTTGTCTATGCTGCCACACTGACCATAACCTGCCAGTACTTTGACAAGAGGCGAGGCCTGGCGCTGGGCATCGTCACTACAGGTACACATTTTAAACTCATTAACTGCACATTATGGTATGCAACGGACTAAAAAGTAGCTAATAGGGATGTCGCTATTTATCGTCTATGATACAATCTTAAATGTTGTTTCAACAATATGCCAACTGACATTATCGAGTTTGCCATTCACTTTGCAAAAATAAAAACAGTGCAAAGAATTTCCGTGCTTTATGTATTTTATGCAAATTAAGTGAATTTGATTCATTTCAGTCCCGTTTAAAACACTTGGGTTTGGGAGCTGAAGCTTTTTTTTTTTAAAAAAGAAAAAAAACAAAAACAAAAAAAACAGAAGAGGCAGAAAAGAAAAGAAAAAAAACAAGATCAAAGCGGTTGTCATAAGAGTTACAAAATCAAGTCACAATACATTTGAAGCACATTATCACGTATTGCTCACAATGACATACTTTGTCCATTTCTGCCAACACTTGTCGGACTGTTTTGAATTCTTGATACAGTGGATCTCCTTTACAATTCCTATCCATTGAGCCCTTGTTGAAGGATCAACCTGAAACCAGTTTTGAATTATGGCTTTTCTGCTACTTACCAAAAGTATTTGAGTTAAGTATCTGTCAATAGAATAGTTGGAACAGTTTGTGGTATTTTGCCAAGGTATAATGTAATAAACTAGCAGTCCAATTCTTCTCCAGTTATTTAGTTGCTGCAGTCTTCTAAAGGAAGAACGGATATTTTGATCTGTAACAAAAATGTTGATTTATCCATTTAAATTATTCAACAAGTTATTAGCTTTGGTCTGGTAATGACAAAGACTTTCTGCCATATAATGGCTGTTTAAGTGTCAAATTTGTTTATCTATGACGGACTAAATCAAACAAGACACCCACATAAAAAGGGGTTACATTTTCAATTTTTTGTAAATGATAAAAAAATCCCTGAAAAATATTTTTTTGCAGTATTGTACACCCTACTACTGCTATAATTATTTGTATTGAATTACAAGCATAAGCAATTGATTTGATTAGAATTTGATCAACAAAATGTAACAAAAAAACATTATGTTAGTGTAAACCACCAGTTCGACTACACCCAACCTGATCTGAGCTGGGATCAAACTGGCGATTCTTTGTATGGAAGTCGGTTGCACTAACAAGGGTGCTACAGACCATGGCCTCTAGCGTCTGTCGATAGAGCACCTTTAGAGATCAGAGGAGTGAGGTTTACCTGCATACAGTAGCTCTTCACTAGCTGGCCTCCGTTACATCCCCTAAACCTCACTTCGATCCTGGACGAGCCCCCACATGTAACTCACCATTCCTACTGCGCCCAAACCGATCTGAGCTAGGATCGAATCTGTGATTCTTTGTATGGGAGTCAGTTACTCTATCAAGGAAGCTAAACACCATGGCCTCTAACCATCTGTCACTAGAGCACCTTTATAGGTCAGAGGAGTAAGGTTTACCTGCATTGCACTTGACTAGCTGGCCTCCATTACACTATTATAACATTATGCTTGATTACCGGGTACATTAGATAAAATTTTACCCAAAAGCCTAAAGTGGATTAGTAATATTTTTATGCATATTTATACAAATTCACAGTCAACAACCTTCTTCAGTAGTTTGTTGTTCTTTTATTGCCTCCTCCATTAGTTTTTTGACTATGAAGCAGCACTCTGGGTCAAC